TCGTCATCCTCGCTAATCTTTTGATCGTATTCCGAGATAGCAATGCAAAAAATTATCGCATCTATTCCATCGTACATTGTGGCCCATTTTCGACGATCTATTTTTTGACCGCCGAAATCGAACAATCTGAATATATGATACTTACTAGTGTTCGTTCCGAATAATCTGAACTACTGAAGACATAGTAAAATCCGTGAATCGGTATTATGAACTTCAATACAGCCTGGATGCTGCACAGATTATGCTAAGTAATGAACTTGAAAAACTCACTGATAGGTGCGATTATGCACGGTGAATATAACATTTTGTAGGCCAATCGTAGGACAGTACACCATGACGAGGTCTTGTGGTGTCGGCATATAATCGAGAGCGTTGATCCGTTCCAGTGAATCCAGAAAACTTGAAAGAAATCGACTCATTTACATGCATTTATGATTGTTCACTACGTAAACACCTTTAAAATGCTCACGAAGCGTTCAAAATTCTCGGCATCTCACTGAACCTTAAGTATCACAACGACCCTTACAAAGTTGATTTCGAAAAAAAGAACTGACTATTTTGTTGAATCGTTCAGATTGTATTCTGATCGCCTCTCATAGATCTCTTGCACTGAAGCGTCGTGCCACAGTGAAATGACTGCATCGTATTGCAGCGGATTGAGTTGAGTGAAAACACCTTCCAACTCATTCATCACTAATTGAGCATTTTTCTGAAACTTCAGAAATCTGTATTTTGAGAATATTGGTAGGTAGCAGTAAGCTTATCCAGGAACCTGGTAGGTCTCAGGCACAGATTCTGTGGCCAAACAACTCAAGTTCAGCTCTATTTGAGTTCATCAATCTGAGTTCGGATTCTAACTGTCAAGAGAACTGAGGAACTGGCAATTAGTTATAAAGAAATGAGGAAGGGTGAGGAATAAGTGACCGTCCATGACCGTAGGGTGCAGTCATATTTTCAAGCAAATAAAGACGAGAACTGCGTACGAGTAACGAATACAGTTCTAGAACTAACCACATTTTCCGGATCAGCAAATTCCATGTTGATTTTTTGCAAGTACACGATCATGGATTTCATTGAGTTGATGATATTCTCGAAAATAAATCCTCGCCTATGCATCATTTCAACTTCTGTGAAATTCTGATTGTACAGCTTTCTGAAACGGCCGTTCGTTGAGCATTCTGTGCTTCATTGGATCAATAAGTTATGAATACATGCTCAACTTGATTCGGATGTGGACGATATTTGAGGATTTATAAGATAATATCAGGATGATGATACAAGCAATGCTGATCAAGAACGCCAACTGCTATGAGGAACATTTCACCCAAATACGAAATCCGCATAACGTGGTTCAAGATTTATGGGTTTCGCACAGCAAAATATTTTACTCAGGAGTTTTACTTCCACAGCTTACACATTCTTTTCTCTTTCCTAATAGATGCTCATTGTCAATGTCAACACCTCTCAAATTTCCATTGCGAAAGAGAAATCCTACCTTATTTGTTCCAGCACTGTGGTTTTACCGGATTCAGCAGGTCCTGAAAACAAGTCCGAACATTACACTTAAATGAAAGTACTCGTACAGTGCTGCAGAAGAAATGATAGACAACAGCTATGTGATTACCCAAAAGGAGCAGTCGTATTGTATCCGAGGTCTCCTCTGGTTGATGTTCAACAGTTTCGATCAATTGTTCCACTTTTGTTTCAGGTAACGGATTCAGTGAAGTTGCTTGTTGAGCAACTGCTGTTACGGTATTGCTGGCAACCACGTTGTTGGTCTCTTGCGACACGGCTTTCTTTGTCTCAACCACATCGTTACTATCGCACACCTGAAAGCTTTCACAACTTCCCTTCAAACTTCACCTATTATCGACCAATTCGATCTAACCAATAAAAGTCACAACAGTGCTAAGATCCACGTTTGATAAGATACGTTAATATAATAACTTTGCTATACCAGTGGTTCTCACAGAGGGTAAAATTACCCATTTTTGGTAATTTGGAGGTGTCAAGAGGTCCTACTTTCTGAGTATTATTAGCTGGTCCGGGCCTAACAAGGTTTTCGTTCGTTTTAACAGGGTTTTCATTCTTTTCGAGCTGTTATAATCGCTCTCATGACTTTTATGACCAAAACTGTTCTCTTCTGCTAATTTCTCATTCATTTCATTCAACAATCAAAGTCAAATTCTCATTCTATCAAATACACTCTATTATTGATCATTTGATTGTCGAACGTTGTTGAACAATAGTATTCAATTGTTTGTATTGTTGACGTCAGTTGTCAACACTCGTCAACGTATCAAGTAAATAGTATATGTCGCAGAAT